CGCGTTTATTTTCGGTCCCCCGGGAAACAAAGCGCAGACGTGTGATTGCGGAAGAAAAACTGTTGTGTTTACATGAGTGACAATGAGCATTTATCAAGATCAGCTAAACATAGGATTCTCAAAAGTATGCGAGGTTCACGGCATAGACTCTTGAAGTTTTCTTCTCCTTCTTTGATTTTCTATGCTGACTGACTTGTTGCACGCCGGTCTGTTGTTGTGGGGACATTTCCACGCCCCGAAACGTGACGCTGAACGAAACGAACTGTAATTGGTTGTTTTACATGTCGGTCAAACGGCCTTATGGGCGGGCCTTGGCCAACGAAAGCTGCTATGAATTCCAGACCTTCAGCCGTCAGTCTGAAGGTCTGGCTACGCGAGACTATCCAGGTACTAACCAGGCTCAACCCTGCTTAGCTTCAGTGGGCAACAGGGTGATATGGCTGCTGGCCGTAACATGTGAGGGGCACATTGTAACATGACCACAAGACAGCATAAATTGTTATCTGAGCTAATCAAAAAAATAAGACAAACTGAAATATTTTGTCAATAAAATACAACTATTAATTTTTCCAAATACAGTTTTTAATAATTTTTTACATTTTTTAATAATTAAAAAAGTAATTTTTGAGTTTGACAACAAACACACTACAAAATACAGCTATACAGCATAGTTCAAAACATGCTAATAATGAATATTAGTCTTTTTTCTCAAGTCTTTTCTCTCTTCTCTTTTTTCTCATGCTTCTCAATAGAATTAATAAAAGTATAGAATAGAATAGCATGGTTCTAACAGGGGCACGTTGTAACAAGGTGTTACAACATGCCCCACCTGTGCAACTGGGATTTAAATAGTGTCTCTGTTGCCCCCTAATATCAGATTTGTCTAATTTTAAATAGCTAAACACAACAAAAAAAAAAACAGAGATGAAAAATCTACTTAAGTAAGACATTTACTTTTTCTATGGTTAAATAAATGTTCAGTGATATCTTCCAAAGATATTTTAATTTTGGAAAGTTTTAAAGCATGTGTGTTACAACTAGCCCCGTGTTACGCTGGGCCCGCTCACCTCTATTTCACAACTGTTTTTACGATAGAAAAATATTCAACGAAAGACAGTAGCCTAATATCCATAGCCTTGATATAAATGATATGACATGCTCTGATCCCCAAACTTTAAGCTCAATATATTGTCATTGTAGTGACTCTTGGGGACCTCAAGAGAGCAGTACAGAACAGCTTATGTCCTGCTACTGGAGGCCTAGTTTTGACACAGTGGGAGACTGAACCCACACAACATGACTACTAAATATGGCAAGTATAACAAGTAGTTGAAAAAAGTAAGTTATATGGAATTGTCAAGTGCACATAACTAATTTTTTTTTAATTATGGATGCAGTTTATTACTTTTTGAGTTAAGTCAAAAAGTGTTAAGTCACTTTTTTTGCAGTGTAGTTCATGTTAATAAATAAAACTATCTAATATTATAATATTATATCTATAAAATAAACTATCTAATATTAACAAATTGAACCTTATTGTAAAGTGTTACCATGTGAAAAATAGTCTAAAATCTGAAAAGGATGCAAGTAATACACATGAAATGGATTTATAGAGAAATATATTTTTATTTTCATTAAGCATAAATGTGTCATTAAATCATCTTTTTTAAATTTGATTACTCTTTAGTAATCAAGACTGCATAAACAGCATACAAAACATTCCTTTTAATTAAGGAATATAGTTTTAGTTTATCATTCATCAATTCTGAATGTACATTTTTCTCTTTATATTGCATCAAAGCAATTACCTCCAATTGTTGATATACAACAAATCTCAACATAAGATCCATTTCTGGACCAATAAAAAATTCTCCTCAGCGTTCATTTTGATTTAAATTTAGTCTTTACAAAAGACTTTTCTGCATTATTATGATGCTGGGGAAAAAATAAAATAAAATAAGATAGGTGAATAATGCTTCCATTTCAAGTAGACAGTTCAGTTCAACACTTCTGGCAGACCAAGATTTGGCAAATGCAGATCCATCTCTTTCATGGCACTGGTTCTTGTCACTGAATACACAGAGGAGCCACATCTTCTGCTGAGTCTGGGAATAAGCGAAGTGTCTCCCTCGAATACTTGGAGTATCCATTGTGGAAGAGCAAGGTCTTCTTTGGGGTGAAGAAAGAGAGTGTTTTTTCCCAAAGGTCAGTGGGAGAGACACCGTTGTGCATCCGCTGCCCCAGAACACCCATCATCTGCTCTACCCCATCTGAGCATTTCCTCTCCAGACTCATCATTTTACACCTGGAAGACAAGGAAACATTTACATGAGATACATTCAGTCTAGAAACTTGATTATAACCGTCACAGACGTTTATTAATAACATCATATCATGACTCATGGCTGTTTACTTACGTTTTCTGCAAATCTCTCATGGTGAAGGACTGTCGTTTCTGAACGTTCAATGTCGAGATGTGATATGCATTGACTTTTCTCTTTCCACTGGCTTGAATTTATACACAGCCTGGCTGAATTTAATGAGATGTAAGTTCTCACACTTTTTAACCAATCAGGAAACTGCAGTTTGACAATAGTGCAAGGGCGGATTGTTTAAATAAATAATGCAAAGGCCCTGAGAACCAAATGAGCAGGTGGGAGGGAACTCTTGTTTTATTTAGTCTGTCAGTCAAGGACTGAGATATTGCTAAAAGAGCAGCATTGAGACTCTGAATTAGCATTGACCTCATTCATGTTGTCAGCCAATAATATGTGGTGGGAATGTGCACTGAAACATCTGTCCAAAAGCAAAACTCAGCCTAAAATTTGATAGCAAAAAGATGAATGTTGTTTAGACATTTAACATCAACTTATTTATTTATTGCACACATTAAACATCAATTTATTTCTAATTTATTTATTATTTAATATTCATACTTAAATATTTAATATACAATGATTTTTTTATAGCTTTAAAACAAGTGAAACTCAACTTAAAAGTTGATAAGAAAGAAATTAGTGTTTAGATATTACCTATTTAAATATATATATATTTTTTTATTTATTAAATACACATCAAACATTTTTTCTCCTTTATTTATTTAATATATATATTTATGATGGATTATATTGCTCATAGGTCTAAAACAAGCAAAACTCAGCATAACAGGTGCTAAAAAAGATTAATGTGATATTTAACATGTAATTATTTATTTATTGTGCACATTAAACATCAATTTATTCCTTATTAATATTTATTTATATACATTTTTTAAAATTCAAAATGACAATTTTTTGTTCATATATCTAAAACAAGCGGAACTCAGCTTAAAAGTTGATATGAAAGAGATTAAAGTTTATATTTATGATCAATTTATCTCTATATATTATTTATTTATGTATATTTATATGTATTACACATTAAACATAAATATATACCTATTTTATTTATTATTTAATATTCATATTTAAGAATAAAAATATGTAATCAATATAAAAGTATGGATTTTTTGTTCATAACTCTAAATAAATGAAACACAGCTTAAAAGTTAATACCAAGGAGATTAATGTTCATATTTATTTATTTACATATTTATTTATTTATAAAATACACATTAAACATAAATATATTCCTAGTTTATTTATTTATTAATAGATATTTATTTGTATGAATATTTATCAAATATGAATGATTATTTTGCTCATAGCTCTAAAACAAGCAGGTGATAACAAAGAGAATAATATGTATAAATTGTACATATATATATTTTTTTTAATATACATATTTGTTTATTTAATTTACAGTCTCATTAAACAGGAATTCCTATTTTTATTTATTTATTATTTAACATACCTATTTATTTATATAAATATTTATTAAATATACAACGATGGGTTATTTTGCTTGTTTGTTTTAAAAGCATGAAAGAGTTATAAATATAATTGCATATGCGATTCATTTCTACATTACGATACATTTTTGTCTAAAAATGTGTTCGAATGAGCAAATGATGTTCCAGCACAGACTAGAGCTGGGACGCTGTTGTTTAAGGCTGGTAATTGAATGATGCCTCCAGATGGCGAGCCTGTCTGCCTGGGGGTGCTGTGAGAACAGCGCTGGGTCACTCTGACATTGTGTAATGAGCCACGCTTTCTTTTATCAGTCGGATCAGCGTCATTATTGAATAAGTGTGGGAAGCCGTGGTGCACCAGCGCTCCCAGGTTCTCACTGAGAGTGGAGTGTGAGATAGTCGTCCAGCAGAAAGCAGACAGCAGGCCAGACAGCTGTAAGTGTCTTAAGTATGTGTGAGGAGAGTGTGCCAACTGCCAAGACAGAAGTGTGCTGCTCAGACCTCATAGAGCTGGGAGGGAAACTGCACACACTTCATTTGCTCTTTACTTTGCAAACCAATATACAAACTTTCTCTGAAAGCAGATTAAAGGATCCTGCAAAAGCAGTGGAAATCAATTCCTATAGGCCTATGTATAAGTAGCCTATGTGTATATCTATATAGCCTATGTAAATATATATGCTGGGTTGTTTCAACCAAAATTTGGGTCAAATAAGGACAAAACCCAGCCATTGGGTAACATTTTTAAATGAAAAATTTTAGCCCAACAATTGGGTTAGTCCATATTTGACCCAACTTTGGGTTAAAACAACCCTGCATTTTGTTTATTTGTTGTTTTTATGCAGGATATGTCATATAAAAATACAATTATATATACTGTGTGTGTGTGTGTGTGTGTGTGGTATCATTTTCCTCTGAATATTTTGGAAAACATACTGTATGAACCATGTGGCTCATGTCTAACTCTCAAGAGACAACAGGACAACAAACTGTTCTTTAAAGACCAAAGCGACTTGCAGTCACTTAGATCACTTTACGAGGTCACAAATTTCCCACATTCACAGCCGACTAGCTGAATCAGTCTTCATCCTTCTGAAAACCCCCTCCACCTGCTCCCCAGAGCTGTGCTCATTGTTTTGGAGCAATAAGGGCCTCAGTCGCCATGTGTCAGCCTGAACGCTCCCATTGGCTGCAGACTGTGAGAACCTCCAGCAAACTCCAGACTCACACATTCATATGGAGATTTGGGAGTATAAATGGAGGAGCGAGGAGAGGGAGTTCAGCACAGCTCAGGTCTGATCCTAACAGAGATCTGAACACAAGACACACAGCCATGGCTCCTACAATCACTGGATCAATCATCAGCAGAGAACAACTTCCAATCACAAACAAGGTAAACATTCAACATTTCACACCTGACTCCACTAAATCATGTATTCTTATGAAATGTGAACTATATGACTGATGGATGAGTGTTTCTAAATGCACGTTCTTAATGTTTCCTCAGCTGAGAAAGCCAATAGTGGAGAAGATCCGCAGAGAACGTATCAACGGCAGCATTGAGAAGCTCAAGTCTCTTCTGGGTCAAGAGTTCCTAAAGCAACAGCCCGACTCCAGACAGGAGAAAGCTGATATCCTGGAGATGACGCTTGATTTCTTGAGACGCTCCCAGGATCCCTCAGGCTGCTCTAATGCAGCTCATGACGGACACTCCAGATGTGTGCAGGAGGCCGTCAACTTCCTGTCTCAGTGTCCAGTGCAGACTCAGTCCCACAGAAGACTTCTGAAGCACTTCCTGCACATGCAGCCGTCCACAGAGAACAACACTCATCAGCTCCATTCACCAGACGCAAAGAGCAGCAGCAAAGAGGAAACTCTGGCGCTCTGGAGACCCTGGTAGAGACACCAGGACCGTATGATTTATCAGACAGAATTCATAATGCCAGTCTGAGATTGGCATGGACTGTAATTCTAATGTAGGAATTGATTTCCGCCTCTGCAGCTTCTGCAGGATCTTTAATCTGCTTTCAGAGAAAGTGGCTGTTTTATTGAAACTGTGTGACCAGTAATATTTGATCAGAATGTACAGAATCATTTGCTGTGTAAAATGATTATTATATTCCTGAAAAATAAGATGGTCACAGTATTGTGAAAGTCTGATTCAGACGTTTGAACTCTTGTAGGTCTTTCACCCATATTGGGTTTATTCTCTCTTGCATCTAAAGGATGACGACACTGCTTTCATTGACTGAAAGCTTTTGATTTACATTTCAATTGTTTGAAATACATCTAATGCTTCTCTTGTTATATGAGAAAAATTTCTTCATTTGAAAGATTTTATTGTGTGTTGTAAGCACAAATGATTGTTTTTAATGTTTGCATGTGTTTACATGAATGAAACATTTCCCCTGTAAAGGGCAGTTGCATATTGTCACTGTTAGTGATTGACTTTATTCTTTACTTTCAAAGTCAAGTTCTTGCCTTCTCTGAAGGTGTCTTCTGTGCATTACTTCATATTGAAGTTCAACTTGAAAATAAATTTGAAGAATATAATCTGTACAATATGTTTTGAATGTTTTCTTCGTCAATCAAATTAACCAAATAAATCACAGTACATTTGCACACTATGAAGATGTTTTAATTGATGTTTAATCAGTCTGCACGTCATGGTTATTTGCCATCTATAATAATTACTAATTACTTAAACTTAAAATATAATTGAATTCTTTCATTGAGATCTTCAGCAGTCAAGTTCCTTACAAGTCAAATTAAATCACAGCTCTCAATAAGTTTGAATTATTATAGTTTGATTTTACCCTCTCATTTTTACATCTGAAGTAATACATAGACATACACATAACCTCTTATCTCTGCTTGGAGAAATTCAGGGGCCTATACCATGAAGCCGGTTTAGGTGGCTAGCCCGATATGTTTCAGTTTAGTTTGCGCCAACCCTGGGTTTTAGTGACCATGAAAGTGGTTTGGCTTTTAGCAGTGTTCATCGCCATAGTAACTTACGCTCCACGGCTAACCACATGATCCTTAACCGATCACACATGTACAATTTTAGTTTATCAATTATTATTACGCAGTTTAATTGAATAAATATATAAAGGTAATATAAATACGCTTCAGAATCAATAGATAAAGCTATAAAATGACTACATGTGAGCTTAAATGTTACATTTTCTCTACCTTTATCAAATATAAGCTAACTTCACAACTTTTACTCGCACTGATATAGCAAGACTTTTTCTTTTAGTTGTCCACTTTCATAGACAGCTATTTTCTTCTTGCTGTGTAAATTTGTTTAAATTCTTTATATTTTTCAATCTCGTAATATTCTGCAGAAGAGAGAAGTGAATCACGCTGCTTCTCTCACGAGAAATTAATCGCAGTTTTACTCTTTCTCAGCATGTGATTGGCTGTTCGCTATATGCCACACCTAAACTCAGGATCAAAGCCTGAGTTGACAGAGAAAGTTGATGATCAGCATCATGGTCCCAACAAAGCCTGGTTGGATAGGTTTGGTTTTGTCAACTCGAAACTAATCCTGCAACCCTGAGTTTGTTAAACTACCATCATGGTACAGGCCCCAGGTTAGTTACACTGGGCTTTGAGAGCTCAACATATTAAACATTTATTTTAGACTAGTTAGTGAACTAAAAGGAGGATCTAATTGCAGCAGTTCTCTTTTTATTTGCAAGAACATAAAGAAACGAAACTACCAGGATTAACCACTCAGGTATAATTTAGAACAGAACAACCTGGCATCACACAACAAACAACTGAACAGGACAAAACACAGGGCTTAAAGGGACTTACTTAAAGAAACAAGACACAGCTGACATGACTAACGACTAATACAGCTGAACTGAAACTCCTAATCAAGGTGTCCTCGGCAACTAAGGAGTGGTGGGAAAGAAGGAAGGAAAACAGGAACCAATCAAAATACCAACTGAAAATCCAAACATGAACTGAAACGTGACAGTTGGTACAACAATGTAAATGTTTTTTTCTTTCTTTCAGATTTGTAAATAAAACAAAGATTATTTGATTATACTTTACAAGTAAATGCCATTTCAGTATTTCTATGCAAAAACTCATGCTTAATTCAATGCGTTGTCATTTCATTTGAATTATTTGTGAAATTTACTAGCAACTTGAATGCTAAGTATGACTTGAATTTACAAACTAGACCTGAATAGAGACATTGTGAACTTTCTTATGAATCTGAATTGAAAATGCATAATCTATAAGTATATTTATAGGTATAGATCACCATGAAGTGCAAACTGACTAAACAGCCATTTGATTTTGTGCAAAAGTGCTGTGATTTTTGTTGTGTGTTAATTTGATGGACAAGGAATTCAGTGACAACAACAGATATAGGCAGAACATATATTCAAATTTATTTTCAAGTTGAACTTCAATATGAAGTAATGCACAGAAGACACCTTCAGAGAAGGCAAGAACTTGACTTTGAAAGTAAAGAATAGAAGTCAATTACTAACAGTGATAATATGCAACTGCCCTTTACAGGGGAAATGTCTCATTCATGTAAACACATGCAAACATTAAAAACAATCATTTGTGCTTACAACACACAATAAAATCTTTCAAATGAAGAAATTTTTCTCATATAACAAGAGAAGCATTAGATGTATTTCAAACAATTGAAATGTAAATCAAAAGCTTTCAGTCAATGAAAGCAGTGTCGTCATTCTTTAGATGCAAGATAGAATAAACCCAATATGGGTGAAAGACCTACAAGAGTTCAAACGTCTGAATCAGACTTTCACAATTCTGTGACCATCTTATTTTTCACGAATATAATAATCATTTTACACAGCAAATGATTCTGTACATTCTGATCAAATATTACTGGTCACACAGTTTCAATAAAACAGCCACTTTCTCTGAAAGCAGATTAAAGATCCTGCAGAAGCTGCAGAGGCGGAAATCAATTCCTACATTAGAATTACAGCCCATGCCAATCTCAGACTGGCATTATGAATTCTGTCTGATAAATCATACGGTCCTGGTGTCTCTACCAGGGTCTCCAGAGCGCCAGAGTTTCCTCTTTGCTGCTGCTCTTTGCGTCTGGTGAATGGAGCTGATGAGTGTTGTTCTCTGTGGACGGCTGCATGTGCAGGAAGTGCTTCAGAAGTCTTCTGTGGGACTGAGTCTGCACTGGACACTGAGACAGGAAGTTGACGGCCTCCTGCACACATCTGGAGTGTCCGTCATGAGCTGCATTAGAGCAGCCTGAGGGATCCTGGGAGCGTCTCAAGAAATCAAGCGTCATCTCCAGGATATCAGCTTTCTCCTGTCTGGAGTCGGGCTGTTGCTTTAGGAACTCTTGACCCAGAAGAGACTTGAGCTTCTCAATGCTGCCGTTGATACGTTCTCTGCGGATCTTCTCCACTATTGGCTTTCTCAGCTGAGGAAACATTAAGAACGTGCATTTAGAAACACTCATGCATCAGTCATATAGTTCACATTTCATAAGAATACATGATTTAGTGGAGTCAGGTGTGAAATGTTGAATGTTTACCTTGTTTGTGAGTGGAAGTTGTTCTCTGCTGATGATTGATCCAGTGATTGTAGGAGCCATGGCTGTGTGTCTTGTGTTCAGTTCTCTGTTAGGATCAGACCTGAGCTGTGCTGAACTCCCTCTCCTCGCTCCTCCATTTATACTCCCAAATCTCCATATGAATGTGTGAGTCTGGAGTTTGCTGGAGGTTCTCACAGTCCGCAGCCAATGGGAGCGTTCGAAAGACTCAATGGGGCAGAGGGCCGCCACATGCTCAGTGAGGCATTTATTGTACAGGAAACAATGAACTTCTCTGACAGGCAGGTGGAGAGGGATGTATTACAGGGAGGAAGTTTGTGAGAAAGTGGAAACCCCTTTTGAAGCTTAATCTGATGCTTAGAAACCTGTAAAAGAACATGCGCCATTCTTAATAAACACACGTCTGATACCACTAGAAAATGCTTTTATTTAGCTTTTTAATTAAACAGATTTCTATTAATTCCAAATTATTTGGATGATGAGCAATAATGAGCAATTTGTTTATTTGATTAGTAACCTATTAATCGCAGAATCAATATTTTTTAACTCTTTTGGTTATTTTATTTTTAAACAATGTTTTTAAAAAAAAAATCTAAAATGTTTTGTTTGTTTGCATGTATAGTTGGAAAATATCCAAGATACCTCATTGGTTTCAGATGCCATAATTCTCCTATAATACCTGACTAATAAAGTTCAAGTATTCAAGGCAAGGCAAGGCAAGTTTATTTATAGCATTTCATATATGGCAATTCAAAGTGCTTTCAAATTCAAACAGTTATTCAAAAGCTTTACATAGAAAGGAATTATAATAATCACTATAGCAATTCATAGAGCTTTGCATAGAAAATAGACACAAATTAATAGCAGGGGGAATTAAAGCAGTTATAAAAGGAATTTAAAGGAGATTAATGATACAATTGTAAAAATGAATTAGAGTAAAATTAATTAAAATAGTAAAAAGATGATACATAGAATAAACTTCTCATCTGGCAAAACACCGGTGTATCTTATTTTGACTCTGAGATTTCAGTAGTACCGTGGATTATCTGAGCCCACCAGATTAGTGATCTGTACCAATCCAGACCAGTAATCTCACCACAGTGTTCCCTTGACCGTCATGAGTCAATCCCTCTCAAACTCCACTACAGGATTTAGTGCAAAACACCGGTTCATCATATCAATCAGTGCCATTTGAGTTCAGTTAAGAATCAAACGGAGAATGCAGAAATAAAATCTAGTGTAATCAGTCGGACGCAGAGTACTCATTCAATAAATGCACAGCTAAACAGATGTGTTTTGAGTCTGGATTTGAATGTGACTACTGTAGGAGCACATCTGATCTCCTCTGGAAGCTGGTTCCAGCTGCGGCTGGCATAATAGCTAAAAGCAGACTCTCCGTGCTTAGAGTGAACCCTTGGTATTTCTAGCTGATGTGATCCTAATGATCTGAGTGATCTGTTAGGTTTATATTCAGTGAGCATATCTGCAATGTATTGAGGTCCTAGGCCATTGAATGATTTATATACTAGTAATAATAGTTTAAAATCAATCCTAA